GAACACATTCTAAATACTCAACAATATGGAATTAGCCACGAAAACGGTTAAGTACCCATGCGATAAAGACAGTGCTGCTATTATATTATATACTGAGTATGTGTACTATTGTAATTTTAAAAAAATAGTATCAAACCCACCTCCTGCCTTGACCCAGCACTAAGTAGGGTTTCCTGCAACTAGCAGTTTCCTGGGAAGATGGAAGGCATCTGGAGGGAAGCTGCTGTCTTCTGATATAGGAGAAGAAAGAGTAGAGCATCTGGAGTTGCCTGAAGAGCACATTATTTGAAAAAGGGGATGGCAATATAGCCAGTGAGTAGTCAGCAGTGGCCTGAGAACAAGCAGAAGGTAATCTATTAGCTCCTGACACTTCAGAGCCAGGCTGAGGCCAGGGATTCATTCCTGCCCACTTCCTTGTCGGCTTCCTCACCATCTGCTCACACACATCCAGCTTTTTCCACCTGGAGGCAGGAGCCCCTGATGGGGGCGGGCTGCCATGTGCTCAGCTCTGTGCCTCCCTGACCTCAGCACAGGGCCTGGCTGGCCAGTGTAGCACTGACGGACGGACAGATGGATGGATGGATCGATTAATGGGGTGGACAGATGAGTGGATAGAACTCTCCTATAAGCCCATCTCCATCTGCTGACCTGCAGGCTCGGATGCCTCTTCCTCTAGGAAGCCCCTGCTGAGTCCTCCAATCCTCCACTGCACTCCATGTTAACATCAGTTATACATCTTAACAATCTGTTTGGTATTCAGATTATGGGACTCTGAGCTTGTTTCCTCCATCAATGCGGTGAGTAGTAAAGGCAGCTGTAACTCTCCAGCTGACCCTATAGATAGGGCTCAGCACCTAGGAGGTACTGAATCAATACTAAGGAAAGAGAAGAAAGGATCTTCTCTTCTGCCCCTGAGGCCATCTAGCTCTTGCTTGGTGAGTGGGAAGGGGAGGAGGAGTTGTTTCTTCTTCCCTCTCATCTGCTGAAAGATGAAGATTTCATGGCTCCAGGCACATTTCTGCCCCCAAGCCCATCAATAGTTCTCTTGACTTGCTCCCAGTCATGGTCACGAGGGGACCACGGAGAGATGATGACTCAGCCCAATTCATCGCTACAATGGAAAAACCCAGTCACCTGTCCTCCTGGCAGCAGGACTGGAGCTGCCTCTGCATCTGAAAGGGCAGCAAGCCACACTGTTCTCAAGGTCCTTTTGTCTTTCACCTGATGAAAAAACATGGAAGATCAAATCATGAAGAAGTGTCAGTGGCTGACACTGAGGATATATAGTATGGTATGAATCTCAGAGACCAGAGACTTGGGTCTTTCCATCCTAGGCTCTGAGTTAAGTGTCCATGTGTACCATCTCATAACACTTTCACAAGTCCTTTGTTATCTTAAGTGGGCACTGTTCACTCTTTTGGCCACCAGTATCCACCATATCCTACCCATGGGGCAGAGACCACCTCCCACTATAGAACTGAGAACATCTCTTTCCAACCTCCCTTGCAGCTTTTGTAGTGGACATGACTGACTCCTCCAATCAGATATCCCCCTCTGGACCATCAGTGAGAAACTAGGGGCATAAACAAGGCAACCCTACAGGGAATCCACTCTGGTGAGGATAATGACAGAGGCAGCAATAACTACCACTGGTCTTGGAGGCAGCTGGTGTCCAGATGACAGTGTCCAGAGTCTGCATCCATGGGCAGCACAGACTGCAGTGTTCGTGCCCAGGTACTAGAGTGGTGATGTGAACACCAGACAAAGGCTGCTGTGTCAGGTGGGGAGATCACAAGAGCTGCCCACCCTCCTTTTCTGCTTAAGTGAGCCAGAGTAGGCTTCCGATTCTTGCAGCTAATGCCATGGCTGGTAAATTAGCCCAACTACACAGTAAAGGTAGGCTCTTCATCTCCAGCCTAAGTACAGGCCAACCAATATTTTCCTGCCCATTTTGCAAAGCAGTGACTTGTGAAGCATCTTTCTAGAACTATGAATATGGCAGGGGCCTTTCTAAAGAGGCCTTTTATCCTAGGCAATAGTTTGGCCCTTGTAATGATCTGCTTTCCTGTGTTAAAAACCCCACCATCCCCACCCCCACCCCCAAGAGCACACATGCTCCACAGGGAGCTGAAGAGGAAGGGAGACCCTGGGACAAGGAACCTAGATCTCAAGCTTCTGGTGACTCAGCAGTGACCCTTTCTGCCTGGCATGACTGACTCCTCCTGAAGAAGCCAGGCTCCTTGTTCTCCCTGCATACGAGCTTGATGCAACAGCTCGAATTTCTTCATCACCTAGTAAGTCTCCACTTTCAAGGGTTCAAATCTGAAATCTGACCCACCAGAATGCTCACTTGGAGTTCATGAATTACTTGAGCCTAGAGGATTGTCTGCCCTAGTTCAAGGTGCTTTTAGCCACCCAGACAGATATGCCATAGTGTAACTTGCCAGATACCGCACGGCTAGTAAACTGTAGATCCAGCTTGCGCTTTTAAGGACTGGCTCCTGACTGCGGTGCAATGAACCACGACCTAATACTAGAGGGAAGAAGTTTCAGAGGAGAGGCTTGCCCTATCCTCACCACTGACCTTCCCCTGACCCCCTTACAAAGGAAGACTTTGAGATCTAGGGATTTCCCCAAGGTGGGGAAGCCAAGCTTGTGCCTCTTACGTGGGTGGTACTTGGGGGCACCCTCAAGGAGCACAAAACTGTAACCCAAGCATCAACAAAGGCTCCCCCGTTTGAGGCCACCAAAACCTTACCAGCTTCCTCGGCCAGCAGGTTGGTTAATTTGCTGCCACCCAGAGCTAAAAACCAGGACCTCATCCCAGACCAATGCAGACAAAGGTCGTCAAAGGGAGAGGAGGTGCTGCAGGCTCTTCTTAATCTCTCACCTTACTGCCATCCTGAACTTTCAAGATGACCTGGTGTAACACTTTGCTTCTGCACAAGAAGGCTGGAATCCAGGGAGAGGCAGAGCCCCACCCCAGGTCACTGCTCCAGCCCTCATTTTAAGCTGTCTTGCCTAAATAAATATTTTTGGGTTACCAGAGTTCCGTAATTCCTAGAAAGGGCTCCATACAGAGCCTGTGGTCCTCACTCTTGAGTGGCAGGGCGAACCAGAGGAAGAAGTCTTCCTGCCCGCTCTCTCACTGAGATATGGAGAGCGAATGGGGAGGAGCAGGACCTGGCCATACTCTAGTCGGGACTCTCCAGGCCAGAGAGAACACCTTCTCCGGAGTCAGCACGCCATCCCCAAGGAGACCAGTAGGCTCTGAAAATGAGGTGGGAAGGACGATGTCTCTGGGAACCCCGAGCCTCGGTTCTTCCCGGCCTCGTGACTTTTCTCTAGCGGCGCCTAGGTGGTGACGGGTGGGGCCTGGCGGCAGGGGCAGGGAGACAAGGCGGTAGGGTGGGGGGAGGCCCTACAGGGCCGAGGTTCCCTGTTCCTTCCGGAGTTCACACAAAGACTGAAGCCGAGGCCGCCCCCCTCCCCGAGAGTCAGACGCCTGGCGGCTGCAGAAGCACGGGAGGGGCGGGAGGGACGGCGCGCTGCAG